TTGTACCAAGCAAATTAAATCGACTATAACCCAACAACTGGCTAAAAATAAATATTGATAATTATTTAAATATACCAAGATATTTTTTTTTCATTTTAAAAAAATTTTAATTGAGAAAAGGAAATAGCCTAACATTGGATGACAATAGTTTTTTGGGAAAAAATTTTTACTTCAAATAGTTTTCTTTTTTTTTTTTTTTTGATTATAATACATGAATAAAATGGATTGTTAGTAAAAGTATCCAAGCATTATGGAATATATTTTCAATTATTAATATTAGCCAATTCAAACTAATCAATTAACTAATGCAAATAATTTGAGAAATATTAATTGATATCATTAGGATGAGGTAAAATGATTCAAATGTTAAGATTAAAAATTTTCCTACGTAGTTTATGATGATCGTATACTGCTACCTATTATCAGGATAATCTATTAGGCATTATTTATGATTAAATTTGATTACAGTGTTGATTATAAATTAAATTAAATTAATAAAATTATAAATTTACCATCCTTCAGCATCAACACAAACGAATTCAGTATTATAGAATACGGTAAAATTGGCATTTCTTTGTTCCCATGAATTGATCATTTCCAATGTTATTTCTAATTCTGGCTGATTTGATAATGGTGCAATGATGCCAATAAATCGGAGAGATTCATTTGTTTCCTAATATTATGCTGTTCTATGAATAATGATTAATATAATGGTTAGATTTACAATTTTCAAAAAATCAAAATTATTTGAGGTAATTAAAATATTTCAGGGTTTTTTTCCTTTAAAAAGATCATAATTGATTTTTTTTTTTAAACTAAAATGTATTTTAATACAAGATATAAATTACTATTAGAGAAAAATGTCTCAAAAAGTTTTTTTCTTTTTTCTTCTTTTTTTTTTTTGCAAGAATTGAAAAATACGTTAGAAATCTTTTAAATCACAAAAAAAGAAAAAAAAAGCAAAAATTACATTGGTATTCCCAACCATATAACCATATCCCTAATTAATGAAAGAATTTAAAAAAAAAACTGAAAAAATATATATTTCATTAATTTTTATAAACACAAATAATCAATCACAAAGTGAAAAAAATCACAATTTTTCCGATTAAAAAGCATTTTTCCTCTTTTTTTTTCTGCATACTATGAACATAAATATACAAATACTATTGTTATTGCAATTTAATTCCTAATAAAATGTTACTGAAGTATTTATAAAATTTATATTTATGCAATAAAATAAAATGTATTAATTGGAAATGTAATACATTAATTTTTATAAAATAGAAAGTATTTATTAAAAAGATACTGTTGGAAAAACCGAAATAATTGTATCATAAAATTATTCATTTAAATAGTTTGCATTTACATTTGTTTTTTTTTCTCATGCTTATAGTCATGAGTCGGTTTAATCTTTAAATCGCCTCTAAATGAGCTTTGTCTGATATTGAGATTTGCGCACATCTGGATGACAATGAATCTTATAAACATGTTTATATATCCAACATGTTTATCTCTAGATATCTGTTAAGCATCGCATTTCTTTCCTTTCTCCTTACACACTCCTTATATGAACATAAGAAATCCCAAGATTCATTCATTGTTGCCAAAAACCCATCTGTCGACACTCAGGTTCACACAAACGCTCTTCATCTATCTCTCCCAATCCCTACGAAATCTCATTATTCTACTGGCTTTACCCTGGAAGTCATTCTATTGTAATTGGATTTGAACCTATCTTCACTGTATTTGGTATTCAGACGATAATAAAGGATAATCTGTTGTACGCTTCGAACACACAACCGATACACTGTCATTCTTTTAAAAATTTAACAGCTTCCACAACAAACAATAACAATCTCTCCCACCTTCTTAACTCCCTTTCTTTTAATTGTCACGACAGATACTAGATGAAATTTCTCCATTACTTAAATAATAAAAAAAAAAGTGAGAATTTACCATAATTGTAATCATTCTTGTTGAGCTATCATCAATTCCACCTTTTGCAATCGTATTTGACATGCATGAGCGATCATTATTATCTGTTATTTTTTTCAGATAACCAGTAATTAATAATTGTCGATGTAATTTCTTCGTTGTAACAATTTCCTGGATAGTATTACTGTGGTGTAGAGTAGTAACATTAGACGATAAAAAATGCAACATTTCGGTAGATATGGCTTCATTGAAATTTTTTCCTGATATATCGTCTAATAAATCGAAAAAATTTTCCCCTTGTAATTCATGGATCTGAAAAGAATTCATTTCATTTTTTATTACAGAAAAATTTCATTAAAAAAAATAGTGAGATTATTTCGACACTTTTTGCTTTGAAACAGATTTTAAATTCAGAAATTCTTAATGTTTAAGTAAAAATAATAAAATGAAATTATAATTGAATTTAAGTGATTGCTACTGGAAATCTTTTTTTCTTTAGCAAGCTATCTTATTGCTTATGTTTAAATGATTTTGCTTGCATATTTGCATGTCCATATTATGGTACTAATGTAAGGAATGCTATATATGATTTATAGAATTTCGTTTTTGCGCAATAATAATGCAACTTTCATGCAACAGCGTGTTAGTTACGTGATACGTGTTGTACACGTGTTGCGTGTTATGTGATTAGTACACGGCTAGCATAACCGTGTGCCATGAACGTCCGTAATGTCATCCATCATTTGGGCTGTCTTTGAAAAAAAAAAAAGAAATTTAACCGAATAAAATCTTGCATTCATTTTTGGTTTTAAAAATTCGATTCGCAATTTCTTAATTAAATAAATGATATTCTAACGAATAAATGAATATTTGATCATAATAAAAAAAACTTCTGCCAAAATTTAGCAAAGTTTGCAGTAAAATAGAGAGGTCACGAAAAAAAGTTTGGCTTTTTTTTTGAATCTTAACTTATTTTAACCCATCAAGTTGAATATGTGTATGTTATATCAAGCAAAGATCAAAGATGATCGAGAATTACGTTAGATAGATTGCAATTATCTGATAAATATTAAATGCTGGTGATAGTTAAATTTTTTTGTGATATTTGGTGATAAGAAATGAATAATAAATGAAAGTAAATATGAATATTCAAATTGTAAAAGGATGAAAGATGAAGAAAATGTAAAGATTTGTAATAGTAAGCAAAATAAATTTTATTTCATTCATTGTTAAAAAAAAAAAATCAATTAATGTGAAAAAAAAAAGCTATTTATCATCAATTCATGCATAAAAATTTATTGATCAATTAATGGAAGGAAAAAATCAATTAATCAATTAATATAAAAAAGGAATTGATTTGTTTTAGCTAGAAGTAAATACAAGTGACCGAAAGTAGACATGAATTTGTTTATGTAAATGATTAAATATTAAAAATAACATTTGCTATATATTGACAACATATTAAATGTAATCCGAGAAATTTTTCACAATTTTTATTACAAATTTTATTTATTATATTTTTTTTTACAATTCCTTTTTCTTCACAATTTTTTTTCATTTTTTTTTACAGTTTTTACTGTTATATTTTTTATTAATTTTTTTTTATAATTTTCTTTTCAATAACAATGATGCTACAATCTGCTCATTTATTTCTTTGTTGGAAAAATTTCTTATCTTCAATTATCAACTTCAATTCATCAAGTTGTAAGTTGTTTTTTCCAAACTTCTTAATGCTGCAAATTTTTATTTTTATTTTATTCCGAGAAAAAAAAATGGATAACAAATATGAGAAGGATGAAAAATGCTGAAAGTGATGAAAGTCTAAACAAAAAAAAAAAAAAGAAAAATTGGAAATAATTACTGCATCGTCGAAAAGTGTTGCAAAGCTTGTGGACGCATACTCGATATGTCCGGAACAATGAATGCAAAAATTTCCAGCTGCTAAAGCATCCATATAAAGTTGAATAATATCCGGAATGTTGCAACCGGCTATAATACGTGATTTTTGATCCAATACTATATTCAATGCTTCATCACTTGTTGATTCAGCTTGAACTGTAAGATATTGTTTCAATTTTACTTTCTATACTCTTATCATATTTTCAAATTTATGCGTTATACTAAAAGTTTTCAATTATTGAGATAAAGTTTTAGTTCTCGAATATTCTTCAATCTTTGAAATTCTCATTCTTCCAATATCTCATGCTACGTTTTTATTACTCTTAATTAATGATAATTATATATCATCTAATTGGTTTCTTCTCAGATTATGTTCACATACAAATATTTCGTTCTATGTTACTTCTTACAATTTTTTTTTTATACGCTCATTAATCTAATCCATCTTTCATATTCGTTCATTCTAACCTACTAATGCTTATAACATGTATTCTTACGTGATAATATATCATTTCGAGTAAATGCTATCAAAAAAGAAAATACAGTATGGTAGAATGAAATAACTAACAATGTTGTTGTTTGAGGAAATTAATTGCGCATTTTAGTACGTTACTTTTATCCATTTTACGATCACCTTTCCCAACTAATAATGTCAATTCACCAATTAACCGATTGAAAGTGTCGCGTCGTCGTTTTTCACTTTCATTTCTAGTTTTTCTATAACAAAAAAAAAAAGAAAAATAACCAAATTGAAAATGTTTGAAAAGGAAGACAATTAATTCGTTTTCACGAATTTATGGAAAATAAAAATATCTATCTATTCTAGACAAAAAATCTATCTATTTTTGTCTATCTAACAATCAATTTTGTTTCAATTTTTAATTTGATTGAAATCTTTCGAATTATTTGATAGTAATATTTCAGCAATTATCTACAAACTCTAATTAATTAGTTCATAGCAGAAATTTTTCATCAACGACTTATCATATTATTCAGGTCAAACGAATATCGAAAGGATGAGGAATGCTAATTTTTTTTTTTTGGACACTTTTACATTAAGCAATGTAAAGTTGTTTAGTTTTCGTTTTTTTTTTAGTATTAATTAAATGGTTGATTAGAAAAACCAGGTAAGGATAATTAATTTCTTTCGTTTTTCTCGATATAATCTCAAACTACAATTTTATTTTGGATTTATTTTTTGAAGAAAAGCAGTGCAAGAAATGAAATGAATCAGTAAAAAAATTCAGTAATCAAAATCATGTAATCATATACATATATATATATATATATATTAAATACTTGATATATTACTGTTAACATCTCGAAGACTAAATACAAAAACTATGAGCATGTAAATGTTGTAAGTGAAATGAAAATTATGTACCTTTTCGAGCCTTTCACCGAAAATGCTGAAGTATTATCACTAAAACTGGAGCTACTCTCTGCCATTCGTCATCGAAGAAAATTTCTTTGTCACTTTTCGATTTAGAAAAAAAAATTTTCGATATGATTAGATTTAACAAATGGTATCTTGACAAAGTCATCAAAACAAATTTAAAATGTATAAATAGAAGAAAAAGGATTTTAACTGAATTTAAATTAATGAAATTTAACCATAAAAAGTTACTCCGAATTACTTCTAACTAGTACTGCATGAAAAGTTACTGGAATACAAGTAAGTAAGTAAGGACAAAATTATAACGAACAAAATATTACAAGAATTCAATATGTCATCCATATTCATGACAAAATTTCAAATTTAAAAAAAAAAAAAAAAGATAATAGCAATTTGTTGAACAAATTCGCGTAAATGTACTATTAGACAAGAAAAAGGACAGTCAAAATGGAAATTTATTGGGAAGATTGATTTTGAAAATAAAGATGTGCATAAAAAGATAGCTATTTTAACGAAGGAAGATATTTGGTTGACAGAATCGATAGATTGTCATCGATGATAAAATGGCTTTCGTTTCGTTGTGTTGGTAGTTTTTTTCACAAAAAAAAAAAGAAAAAAAAAATCTCAAGGTCAACAAGTTACGATTTGATGATTAACCGGCGCACTTTGACATATACCGCATTCCATCCTTTTCCTTTCCTTCTTCTTTTCCACCCTTTTCTCTTTTTCCTTCTTCATTGCCTCTCTCTTATGCTATCATCATTTTATCTTTTTTTTAGCAATTTCTTTTTAAAAAAATTATAAATTTTATTTTCAAATAATTGAAATAAAAAAAAAAGAAAAGAGGAATGAAAAGGATGCAAGAAGTTGACTGTCAGGAAAAATATCGTCCCATACAGACCGATGCACAAATACAAACACATACAAAGACCATATTGAAGGTAATTGAGATGAGAGGTAGTAGGAAGCAAAGTCAAGTAATAGCATCAGCTGTAATTGTTCAGAAAATTTTCAAGGTCAAAGTTGATGCTTCTATCTATTCCATACTCTTTTTCATTCTCCGCTCTTTTTTTTTTTTCATTTTACTTCAAAAAATGCAAAGAAATATCGTTAAAATATGAATGAGATGGAATAAAACAAGACAAAATAAAAGAGAATAGAATAAAAATTTTAATGGAATTATCATCAATAAAAATAAATTGGAATCAATTAATACAGTTATTAAATTCAGGATGATCAATTATGCACGGATGAATGCCGCACATATTTATTAATAATTAGTTAATTTCAATAATTCGAAATATTTGTAGAAATTTATTACTTTAACATAAAATTTAACAGCAATTTATAAAACGAAAAGCAAAACCGTTCCGCACATTTTGCACTTAAATGAAATTTTATGGAGTACTGTAAATTGATGATAGGTTAACTGAAAGTGTTTACTCTTGTTGGGATTATTTTGTTTGACGAATACACAAAATTGAAATAAAGTCAAAATAACAAATCTAAATTTGAAAACAATAACTTTTTAAAAGAGTATTGAGAAAATGTATCAAAACTTTTTCTTTGTAACATCAAAAATTCACATTTCACATATTCCATTATTTAGGATATCTTTTTTCTTAACCCTTTTCACATACATATATGATATCAATATTTTAATTCAAAGTATTTGAAATAAAAGAAGGAAAAAATCTTTGGAGAAAAAGAAAGATATTCTAATATACTATCAAAAATTAAGATTTTTCATATTCTTTAATTAAAATTAAATATTTCACAAACAATATGAGATATGAAGAAAGTTTAAACTTAAGAGAAAATATAAAAAAGAAAAAAAACCAAACAATCAAAGTAATGTGTTTTTTTTCTTTTTTAAAAGAAACAAAAAGCAAAAGTATCACTTTCTCTTCCACATTTTTGCCTTCATTACATTATATTATATCCGACGGATAAGAGAGATAGTATGATCTTATGATAATTTCAATCACTGATAGATTACTGATAAAGACAAAAATACACAAATCAATGGGCCAACAAATAAAGCCCTAAAGAAATGTATAAGTCTATCTTCAATAAAAAATCAGAAAAACGAAAATGAAAAAGAAGTCATTGATTTTCTTTATCTCCCATTACTTTCTTCTATCATCTCTTCCTCTAGCTCCTCAACCTTTAACCCCTTCTATCGGATTGACCAAAAAAAGTGGTCATAAAAATAAAGTGGCATTTATGAATTAAATGAGAAAAGATTGCATGAATTAAAAGTAAAAAAAGGAAGAAAAAATTTAAAAAAACTGAAATACTATCTTTGTAAGAATGATTGATATATGTAATTTATCAAAATTCATTGAAAGAATTATTCAACGAAATAAAAAATGAGAAAATGTTTTATAAAAAAGTAAGCCATCTATATTTTACAATCCATAAAATCAACTTCAAATTTTTTTTATTGAAATTACTTTTCGTTCTAATGCATAAATGTTTAAACTATTAATAAATAAGCATAGATTTGATAAATCAACGATAAAAAAAATGATACCTTGAAAATGTTGTTATCATTAGAGATATTTCATTCAGATATCATTCATGTAAAATGTTTAATGTCATTTACGAATTAGTTTACAAATTAATTATTTTAATCAATCTATTATTATATTTCACTAAATGTTCAAATTCCTTGAATGAAACAATGTTGATAGCTATGCTGCATTTTATATATACACAAATGCTTCTTTGTTCAACAATTTCAAATTTAAATTCAGATATTATTAATGAGTATAGTTTGAAGTGTTGAAAAAATTTTAAAGCAATTTTATTACTGCTATTCAAAAATATTTCAAATTTTTGAAACAAAACGTTTCTATATTTATGAAAAAAGAAAAAAAAACGGAAACAATGATTGAAATAAAAAGAAAAGTAGGCCTGTATTTTTAGTGTATTTAGTAATTTGTCAACAAAAAAGGTTGCTGATTTAATCTTTACTAAATTTGAAATAATAAATGAAATATCATTCATTATGATTAAAAAAGCATTATATCTAATCAGAAAAAAAAGTCAAGTACTTTTACAAAAAAATACCATTAATTATGATTAAAAAGCATATTTTTTTTAGAGAATTTCGAAAAATAAATATCAAAATTCTATTTACTAATAAATTTGCATACTTATGGGCCGCATATATATATTTAATATATAAAGTGCATATGGAAGTTCAAAAATCAATAAATGATAAATGAAATTAGCGCATATGTTTCTGTATGCGAAATCTGCTTTTCATCATAGCGAGGCATTAAAAATCAATGATAGAACTGAAATTAAAATTATGACGAAATAGGACATGAAATGCATTTCCAATTATTAACAGTGAAATTGTTAATAATAATTACTTGTCATCCATTTGATCATCGATATAAATGAGTGAGTATTCTTTGATACTGTTCCCTTACAAACAAATTGTCGTTTATTAAATAAATAAAAACACAGATCGTTCGTTCGTTTTATAAATGTACATATAAATATTTTTATAAATATGTCTAACCATTTACAAACAATCATTCACTATCTTTTCTTTTTCCATTCTTAATTTGTTGATTTCAATACTATAAATTAATTTTATGACAACTATCCTTTGATTGCTATCTTTCGAACCAAAAAAATAATTTTAGTTTTATATTAATATTGGAATAATTTAGGACTTAAAGGTAAATTTTGTTGCTAGTATAAGTAATTCGATTAAGTGAAAGAGCTGTTGATAATTTCTTTAAAAAATTTGAAATAATTT